ATTCTCCTGCCTCAGCCTCCCGAGTAGCTGGGACTACAGGCACCGCCACCTCGCCCGGCTAGTTTTTGTTTTTGTTTTTTTAAGTAGAGACGGGGTTTCACCGTGTTCGCCAGGATGGTCTCGATCTCCTGACCTCGTGATCTGCCCGTCTCGGCCTCCCAAAGTGCTGGAATTACAGGCTTGAGCCACCGCGCCGGGCCGAGGTTTTGGTTTTCTAAAGTAACTAAAGACTTGACAAAAGACAACATGAAGCACAGTAAATTGTTTTGATAAGAAACATTCTTTGTTTCCTAGCTAGAATTCTTAAAAGGCTGAAAAACATCTTTCACAATTTTGCATTAGGGCAGTGCAATAATTCAAGATATCCTTGTCATTTTAACATAGGAGGCCAAATTCTAGTGTTACATCAGTATACTTTTGATATGAATAATCAGTTAAATAAATTATAAATAATTTCTTTCTAATCTTATCAAACTTTATCACACGTGAAATCTTTCCCAAGATTCCTTTCCACAAACCTTCTACAACTTCTTTTATATCAATTGGGTTTTGTCCTATCTGCTTTCTCTTTTCCATTGTGGAAGAACCAGCCATTCTACTTTAGGTTAAAAAAAAATACTTTTTTCTTAAAGAAAAACACATCCTTTATATCTCATAGCTTCACCTACCAAAATCTTGTCTTACTATTCTTACATACAGAGTTGTTTCTCTTATTATTTCTAGCATTAATTACTATATGTTATATAGAACTCTTAACTACTATTAGCTTGAATTTCTAGTGAAAACTAGGGGGTAAGCAACAGTCAATGGCCTGTTTGTTAGTGATGATGGTTGTATTGTTTTTAAGTATTTTGGATTCTCATCTACTGCACCTTGCAAATGAACAATGTTGCCAAGATTAAAACTTCTCCATGCGCATGCTGTCATCCTAAACTTTCCTTAGCAAGGTTAACTTGTTTGTCCAAAAATATAAAGGCTTGTGGTCCCTAATTATCATACATAAAATTAGCCAGTATCCCAGCAAGTGGAGTCCCAGGCTCCTTTCTTCGGAGAAATCAGTTTTCAGAAAGTACCTACCTGAGGGCTTTAACTGGTCTCAGTTCTGCTATTTATTGGATCCAATCTGATTCTGAATGGAGACTGGCTAAGGAAATGCACAAATAAAGTTGAAGAGATCAAAATACAAGTTTCTGGAGCTCCTATTTGAAAGGAAACTCACCCCCACTTTCCAACACAGCAACACAGCACATTAGCTCCATTTGAATTTGCCTTTGCTGGGTATTAGGTTTTCCTGGATGCTGCTGGAGGTTGCCTTGCAGTTCCACATCTGACACTAAATTGTTAAAGAAAACTTTAAACAAAATGAATTCAATAGAGTTTATCTGGGCAAAGAAGAATTCATGAACTTGGCAACACTCAAAACTGAAAAAGACTGAGAAAGCTTTTCTCTAGTAGCATAAACAAGGTTTACACAGGCTGAACAAGGTAGCAAAGTGAAGAAATTACCTGACTGGCTTAGCTAGATGTCTACCTTATTTGAGCATGATGTACTGATGGGGTGTAATGACTTCCAACTTGTTTATCTGCAGGCACTTGTAAACTTCAGAGACCAGAATCTCTGAGCGCATGTTAAAGCAAGTTTTAGCCACCCACTTCCCAAGACACTGACCAAGTAGGTGTGGGTGGGAGCCAGAAGCCCCATTTCTAACCCAGCACCCAGGGAATGGTGATGTTCCTGGTCCTAGATGTTTACCTTGTTTGGGTATCTTGTGATCAGAGGTCCTAGTTATATAACTAACTGGCTGGCTGTTTGCCCAGTTGATTGATTGATGCTAGATTTTGAATTTGTAAGTCAGTCATGAGAAATGCCTCCAGAAGTTAAGTTTTCGTTTGCTTATGAAGAGCTCAGGTACAAAAAGTAACCTCATGATACTGACCTGTAGCAGCACAATAGAGGACACTGTAACAATGTTTTATTAAAAATTCTTAAGAAATTTTAATAAAATATTGAAACAATAGTTTAATCTCAGGCACATTTACTATAAATAATATATATACAGCGATATATATAAAGAAATATTCATCATTACCACTTTTCATAAAACAAAAAATTAGAAAAATTTAAACAATTAATTTCAAAACTGACTAAATATAGCTCCAGCTCTGAGGAGTTGCTGTGCAGAGGGCCAGGTTGTCAGGGCCAGTGCAGCCTCTCACTTCTCCAGAGAGTACCATCATGCCTGGGGTCTAGAAACTCTCCTTTTTCTTTGATCAGGCATAGTGAACCAACCCTTCCCAATCCAGCGTGCAATGAAGAAATCATTCTCAACCTCACCCAATGGTTTGAGGGAGATACTTCTCACTTGTGGTTTTGGTCTGCATGTACCGCAATGATGGCTTAGCAGACCTGCACCATTCCAGAGTGTGGTCTAGGGACTAGGGTGAGTCTGTCCCAGGAGGCTGGTGAGGCCGTGTAAATTCCTGGCCCTGCCCAGACCTAGTGGTTCAGATTCCTGGGGGATAGGAGGGGAATAAGAACTTGGGTTCCTTTTTCTTTACAGTCAGGCATAGTGTTCTGACCCCTTCCCCAATCCAGCGTGCAATGAAGAAATCATTCTCAACCTCACCCCAATGCCGTTTGAGGGGAGATACTTCTCACTTGTGGTTTGGTCTGCATGTACCCGCCATGATGGCTTCTGAACCTGCACCATTCCAAGTGTGGTCTGGGGACTAGGAACAGGTCTGTCCCAGGAGAGCTGGTGAGACGTGTAAATTCCCTGGCCCTGCCCAGACCTAGTGGTTCAGATTCCTGGGGGATAGGGAGAATAAGAACTTGGGTTTAGGGTATTTAGAACTTGCCTTCAGGGTATACTAGTCCCACTGAAGTTCACAGGTAACTACAGATACATGCTGAAGGCATCTTCATGGAGAAGAAACTTAAGTCTTGTCCAGAAAGAGTACTTTATTTAATTTTTAGCTGGAGGATGTGACGGTTTCTTTCTAGAGACCACAGTGTGGACGATAGGGGTATATCCCGCTGGGATGCAAATGCAGAAATTCAACTCTGAATTGGGTGCCCTGAGGTTGGGAAGACTGGGACATAGACCTGCTCACTTCCATGACAGAATGTGCCCCTCAGATTTGACCTTTCCCACACCTGCAGGGCGCACCTGCTCTGCTGATGGAGCTCATTTGCACAGATCAACCCCTGAGTGAAGCTGGGGGAGATGCAGGTGCGTGGCTTGGGAGCTGGTAGCATGGTGTGTCTCAGGGGCACCAGGGTCCAGAGGAGCTCTTAGCATCTGAGACTGGTAACTATGGCCTGAGACCCAAGCAGCTTACTGCCTGTTTATGTAAATAAACACTTATTGGAACACAATCACTCTTATATGTTTGCACATTGTCTATTGCTCCTTTCGAGATATGACAGCAATTCTGAGTAGCTGAGAGACCATCGGCCCACAAAGGCCAGAATAGTTACTCTCTGGCTTCTTCAGAAATTTGTTTGCCAAACCCTGGTTTAGGTGATTTGGGCAAGGTCTTAGTAGCATCCAGTCTGCCCATGCATCTCACACAACATCCCCTGGGGGTGTGCATTCCTGCAAATCCTGCATTTTCAGGGGATTTCTGCATCCCTGGGGATTTGTGAGAGTGCAGATGCATTTTCCAAAGGTCAGAGGCCCTGAAGTTGGACATTTCTAAGATTCTTCCAGAAGATGCTGCTGCCCCAGATGCCAGGACAACTTTATAAGGGTGAAGCTAGAAGTCCTTCCTCTATTCACCAACTTTCCACGGGCCAGGAAAGCTGTGTGAGCCTCCCCTCGAGAGCAGAGGCCACACATGCTGAATGGGACCCAGAGGCTCTGTCTTGCACAATCGTGCACATTGGGTGTCCTGCAAGATCACAGACAATCTACCTCTGGCCACATGGGTCACCATCAGCCATGAGCATGGAGACAGGAGCTCAGACTTGTCTTGGTTGTGCCACTTGGATGTGACTCACGAGGTCCTAAGGAAGGGAGGACCCCACTGACACAGATGCAAATAGGCTGCCTTTCTGAGAGGAACTCCATCAACTGCTCAGCCCCTCCCTCCAGAACATGGCACAGGAAGCTTCTGGAAATGCTGATGTTTAATGACCTATTCTACATGAGGAACCTGGACAATGAGGAGTTTCTAAAATGCCAAGTCATAAAACCTCAGACACTTGCAAAGTAAGAGAACAAATATGCACAGAGCTGCTCAGCCACTGATGTGCAACTCCTGGGAACAGCTGGTGTCCACGGGGGAGGGGGCAGCATGAGGCCAGGCATGTGAGTGGCTTTCACTCAGGAGAGCCCCTCTGAGCAGTTCTTGTTCAGGAGTTCAAAATATGTCTTCCAGGGCATGGTTTCAACAGTGAAGAAGCAGCTGAAGGTCTGAGGGAACAAACAGGAAGAGACAGTAGGGCGGGGTTTGGGGAGGTTCCGGAATCCTGTGGCATCTGCCCTTGACACAGGTTCCATCTCCACCTTGCCCATTCCTGGGCCAGCAATCGAGCCACGTGGCTCTGGCCTTCAGGTCTAGCCTGAGCCTGAGGCCAATCCTGACCTACATCGTGATTTGAGGCTCCCTCCTTAGCCAGGGTCACTTGTGCCATGCCTCCTCCTCCAGCCCGTGCCCCTCAGGGAAACCCCAGGCTGTCCTGGTGTGATCCCTGCACCCAAGAGCAGCAGGAGAACACTTTGTCCCATGGAAGCAGTTCCAAGACTTAGGCAATTAGTTACCTGTTTGTTAATCTTACAATAAGGGGATTGACTAAGAACAGGAAGTTTTCCCAGAGCCAGGATTCGCTTGGAGCTCATCCCCTAGAGCAGGGTCTGCAGCTCAGCAGGGCCTAGGAGCAAGGGCAGTGGGGCTTCTTCTCAGCCTTCACCACTTTTGGGTCTAGGACAGGGTAGGGAAACCCTGAGAAAAGTATCCAGAGACATTGTCACCATTGTCTCCGGGCTCTTTCTCTAGAAGGCAGGGAAGAAGTGGGGAGGAAGACCAGAGAGAAGGTTCTGAAGGCCATGTGGCCCAGGTGCAGGCAGCTGCAATGGTGTCAGAGGGCAGAGTCAGGAAACTCAGATTGGCTGGGGGCCTGAAAGTGAAGCCCTGGGCTCCCTGCCTCACTGGGCTTCCCACTAAGGCACAAGCAGGGCAGCCTGGTAGAGCCTGCTGTGGGCTCACTTGCCTTTGTCGCTCGGAATGGCTTTGTCAGCTGCTCCTGTGCCCACACCACACCCCATGCAGCATCCACAATTGTGGACCTGAGGAAAGCTGACGCCCTGTCTTACATTGTTCAGCTCCGGGCTTTCTTGAAAAGGGCAGTTTTCAATGTCATCTTCAAATTTCCTACATACAGTCTGGGGCAGTTGCAGATTCATGGAGAACACCATCTTACCTCGCCACTATTGGACAAAAAGAGATTAAAGTGGATGCACCGTCTGCCCGCCCCTAAGTAGCCGCTAGTGAAGATGCCATTTGTGCAGGAGAGACCCCAACACTCTACTGCATTTGAGAGCTTGCCCATGGGCTTGGCATCAGCTCACTGGAGGTAAAACCCAGGGGATCCTCTCTAGACTGAGGAGTTAAGAGCAAAAAGCAGGTGGGCATGGTGGGTCTGGGGAGGATGCAGGTTGAGCCAGACCCCACTAACACATTCTCCACCTCCACCCACCCCCATTTCCCATGGCGAGACTCCAGCTTCACTCTCAGCAGGCATGTGATCTTGCAGCTGCGTTCCCAGAGGACAGAGCCACATGTCCAGGAGGGTGTTGGATCTCCAAGAGTTTTCAGGGTAACCTGAGCCCTGGGACAGAGGGAGCCTCATCTACAGCGTGTTGTCAAAACCTTCCAACCGACCTCTACCAAGAAAAATGACACACAGTGCTCCCACTACACACAGGCACAAACCCTGGGAAAACAGCTTCAAGACACCGTCTGCCCTACTGCAAAGTGCATGCTGAAGTTCTCCTTGCTCTCCTTCCCACTCCATTCTATTTCATTCCACTGCATAGCCTCCCTCCCACCCATCTATTCTTCCCAGCCCCCAACATGATGCTGGGATTGCCATATCCTGGAAGCCATGTGGAAGGCTTTCAGAACTCACAGTCATTTAGGACTTAGAGACCACAGTAAGGAGCTTAGATTTTATTCTAATGGTATTAAGAATGGAGGCTTACACCGAGGTCTTGGAGAATCAAGCAAAACACTGGGAAAGCAGAAGCATGAGGCCTGGCCAATCTCAGTCTCTGAGACTTCCAAGGTTCCAGCATGACTCTTAGCAGACACCATCACTTGACCCTTTGAGGGCTGCATCAGGCTTTTAATTCTCCTGAGAGGAGGCAGGAAATGAGCAAGGAGGAGAATTCCTCTGTACCAGCATTGCAATCCTGAGGATGGCAGAGAAGAATCCACCCCAGGAGGCAGAGAACCAGCCAGGGCCTTGCACAGAGTCTTTCCAGAGCTTAAGCTATGTGCGGCACTGGAGTCCCTCTGCCCTTCCTTCAGGCTCTTGCTTCCGAGAAAGGAAGAGCAATGCTCCTCTCTCTAAACCAGAAGTGCTCCATTAGGAGGGCATTTTAACTGTTCATGCCTGAAGCCCAGATGAACTGTGCATTCCTGACCACGTTAATGATTTCATCAAAAAGGCAAACATTTTAGGATGAAGGTCCATTGAGGAAGAGTGTAAATCAGCCTTCAGTTCATTAAGTGCAGACAGAGCAAGGAGCCCAGAGAAGGTGGAGATCAGAGAACTGACCTCTCACAGTGGCCTCTCAGGGCTGATAGTGTTCTTTATTGCCCTGAATTCTCACTGTTCTCTCTCTCTCTCTCTCTCTCTCTGTGTGTGTGTGTGTGTGTGTGTGTGTGTCCTTGCTTTTCCATTTTCATTTTATGACCTTGCAATATTTCTCAGTCTCTTTGGTTATTTTCTCTTCTTGTCAGCTTCATCTCCTTAGAAGTCCTTATTCTGAAGTCACTCTTCAGTTATACAATGTCATAAAAATCATGAAGATTGAAAAATATATCTTGCATGTGAATAGACATTTACCTAATTTTAATTTTTTTTTAAGTTCAATGTTTTCCAAAACTGAAACTACCATAATTAGTTATGGACTACCCAACTATGGCCTGCCGATGGTGAATCAAGTCTCCTAGACCAGACACCTTGGTCCCACACTTAGGGGCAGATGGAGAAGGACAGGCCAGAAGAGGATGTGGTCACCAACCTTTCTGTCCAGGGTATCCTCTCTCCATGAACTCAGAACGCGCAACAGTCTGTAGGCATGCTCCTCCTTGCTCTGCACGTTGAAAGCGTTCAAGGCAAACTCCACTGTGGCGAGGAACATAGGATCCTGGACTAGTTTATTATTACCACCCATTTCCTCTTCAGAGCACCGGGCATAGGTCACCAGGAGCTGGAAGCCCATGAGAAGCAGTGACAGTGCCCAGGGCAGAGCCTTCCTCCTCTGTGGACTCGACATGATGCAGGCTCCAGCAGCCCCTGCCTTTGCCCTTCAGATACCTGGCATCCACTGGAGCCTTCCAGGGCTCAGATCTGGCCCTTAAATTCACCTGCTGGGGCAGAAACTCCTCCCTCCAGGCCTCATCTCTGTGGTTACACCCTGTCTCTCCCACACGCGGCCTCTCTTCTAAAGCCGTTTAAATCATCTCCTGTTCAGGCGACAGGAACAGCACCCAGGCAGGTGGGTTGGGAAAGACCAACAATGAGAGAGGGAGTGCCCTGAACATAAGACCCAGCCCCAGCTGCCCCAGCACCTCCACTGGCTAAAGGGGCCCTCCACTGGGCGCCCCAGTAGAGGTCAGAGCCCGGCGCTGGAACACAAGTGCAAGAGGTATGATTGGAAGGTGAGAGCTGGACTCAACAGTGGAGGTGGGGTGGGAGGGGAAGATGCGTAGAAAGGCAGGAAAGGGATGACAGTGGACGCTAGGATCGTGGGTGAGCAGGCACAGGCCCCAGAGAAAGTGCTGAGCCTCTTGAGAGAGAGGTGGGGAGCCCCGGAGGCCTGGTGCGAGGTCCTGCAGGTGTCTGCTTCCCCAAGGGTCTCAGGACGGGGGCCCCAGCCTGGGGGGTCCTGGGCAGGGGTTGAGGAAACCAAGAGCAGGAGCCCGCAACCCTGTTCTCTGCACCTCCCTGAATGCAGCTTCCCAAGCCAGGGACGCGCTGCCAAGTGCTGGTACTAGGGGCCTGGCTCCTTATGGCTGTCCCTCTTCCTCAAAGGTGTTTCCAGGACGGGTGACCGCTTGCAATTGGAGCAGTGGAGAACCAGAAAGACGAAGATGCCCCCAGGAATGGCTGAGCTGCGCCCATTAGGTCGTCACGGGTGCCCTCTTGTGGCCACAGCCGGCGCAGCTCAACGGCACAGTTTGTGGGTGATTCTGAGTTCTCCACCAAGACCGTCCTAGCCTGCAACTCCAGCAGCAAATGGGGCTCTGAAAAGACTGAATAAGGCACCCTTCCCAGACCAGACTTCAGCTTTGTCCCTGTGAAACATGCCTTCGATGTTTATCCACAGCTCCTTGTACACTTCAGAAGCAACCAGCATCCCCTGAAGTCATATTAAAAAGCGAGTTCCTAGTTTCCCCACCCGAAGATTCTGACCCAGTAGCTGTGAGCAGGGCCAGGGAACCTACATTTCTCACCAGCTTCCAGAGGATGGAGTGTTCCCGGTCTCGAAACCACACTTTGAGTGCTGCAGGCTCAGAATACTTCCTGGGAGGTGCATACAGACCAAACCACAAATAAGAAGTAACTCGGCTTGAGGGACATGGAGGTCAGGGGTTGAGCGTGGTTTTTGTGGGGAACACGGGATGGGGAACAGTCTCAGACAGCATGCCTGGTGATAAAAAGTAAGAATTTGTTTCTAGACCCTGTGTGCAAAGAAGCAGCAACTCAATGTGACCATTCCAGGAAAGCAGCCAGATGTGCCCAAAACATCACCCAAGGTGTCTGTATCCTTTCTCTGATGGCGCTGAGTTCGCTGGAACTGCAGCTGAAGTGTTAGTAACGTGGTTTCTTAGCTGCAGAGTGATGGTGCACGTGGGGGTAGGAAGGGGGTGTCAGTGAGGGTGGAAATGCCTTCGTGGGTTTTGGGATGAGCAGGCCATAAGGTGCTGTGAGAACTAGAATCCTGATGCCTGGAATAGGTTGCAAGTGTCCTGAGAGAGGCCTGCAACGCCCACGGAGGTCACTCTCACCTTGTAAGGTCAGGGGCTGGTGAACTTGGGGCATCCTGCCAATCACCAGTGAGTCCCCCACCATTCTGAGGGCAGATACCCACATGCACTCCAAAGGGAGTGCCCACACTGGCTCTTACATGAGCAGTGGTTTAGGGTCCTGGGCACCAGCTCTGTCCTCACTATGCAGCCAAGGAGGGATGGGGATCCCCACACCCAGATGTGAGACCATGGGTGTGCAGACACCATGGACCCTTACAAGTGTGTATTTTCTAGTTGAATCCCCAGTGGCCTGGGATAGCCTCCCTTCCCAGGTGGAGAGAGATGGGAATATCAAGACATAGCCAGGTGAAGAGAAGTACATGTGGGCTCCAGGCTGCGGAGCCCCGAAGACGTCAACATGTTGCTGAGGCCAGAGTGAAACCGGAGGGCCCGGAGGGACTGGCTGGCCAGCCCACAACCGCAGCTCACAGCTCTCTGAGGGGCTCTCCCCAGGTCTCAGGTCTGGGAGGTTTTCACAGCCGCAGCTCACAGCTCTCTGCGGGGCTATCCCCAGGTCTCAGGTCTGGGAGACTTTCTCTCCTGAAACCTCTTGTAAGAGTTCTGTCTCACTCAGCTTCTTCCTGGGCACTCGTTGGCCTGTCTGTCTCTGGGGCCACCGGGACTTGTGTGGTGCCCTGTTTGTGTTGCTGGCACTGGCACCGAACACCCATGTGGTCTCATAGGAAGGTCCCAGTAACTCCTCACTGAAATGGACCTGCTTTTCCAGAAATGAGGTCCTGTATTTCTGGACGCATTCCTTTGAATGATTAGAGAATGCTGGCAACGACCAGGACCAAGCCACTGGCCATTTTCTGTGAAGCTGAATGTGAGGTGGAGGACCAGGGGAAGCCCAGTGCCTCTTCGGGACACAGGACACTCTCCCCAGCTCCCACAGACCCTCCAGCTGAGTGCTCTCCCCGGGGTCTGACTCATGTCCCTCACTGCCCGGCCTACTCAGCCACATGCTCTAAAGGTCCTGTGCAACCTTGCTCACTGTCTCTTTCAAGCCGGGCCAGGTTCAGTGGGGCCTGCCAGTTTCAGGATCGCCTGCTGGGCTTCAGGATCACATCCTCAGGACCCTCCCCGTTCTCCCTGCTTGGCATTTCCCAAGGGGACTCCCCAGACAAGCCAGTATTCCCGGGGGTTTCCGTGTGCTGGAAAGCAAGGCGGCATCCAGGAGATCAAAGGAAGACAGCAGGGGCAGGAGGAGCCCTGGACTCAGAGCAGAGTGGTCCAGTGATTGCTGTCACAGCAGTTATTAAAGGGGCCGCTCTGGGCACGGGGGTTGGGGTGGCTGCCAGGGAATTCCAGGGCCCTCTCCACTCCTCCCTTCCTTCCCCCAGTTTTTCCGCCTGGGGGGTTCTTCTTAGCTGTCTTCAGCTGACTTTGAGTTTTGATAATCTAACGAATTAATCTTATAGAGACTATAGCAAACTTAAACTGAGAAAGAGAAATAACAATTGAATTAAAAATGACAAAAGGGGAAGTAAAAATACAAACATTACCACTAAATATATGAGGCCTAAATCAGGGGTCGCTCATACCACGTGCAAATCGGAAGGCCCGTGGGCTGTTTCTCCTCCCTCCTGTGGGTCCAGCAGGTCCCTCACCCTGGCTAGGTCGGGGGTGCCGCCCTGGGCCTGGGAGCTTTGCTCTGAAGAGGAAGTGCTGCCTCAGTCACCCTCAGCAGTCCTCCTGTTCGCTGGTCTTTGCGGACACACCTGCCTTCCCTCCTCAGTGGGCGTTTGCTAAGCTTCTTCTGTGCTCCCAACGGAATCCTCTCCCATCCAACGCAGCCCAATGTTTTCATTCCTAAGTACTTTAGTTTTTAAAAAATGTTAAGTTAATTTAAATTTAAAAGAGTACAAAAATGTCATAATACCACTTCTTTTTTATTTTTAAAATTTTCTGTAGAGATGGAGTCTCACTATGTTGCCCAAGCTGGGCTAGAACTGGCCTCAAGTGATCCTCCTGCCTCAGCCTACAATTCCACTTTTACTAAGTGAAATGTAGGTTTCAACATAACAGAAACTCCAAATACCAGTGGCTTATAGTAAACTGGTGTTGCTCTCTCTTTCATGATGCTGACAATGGCTGGAATTCTTACAAGCCTCACTCCTGCTGGGCACTGCCTCCTTGACTCATTTAAGCCTCACATAGAAACAGTCAATCAAAATGGTATATATTTTTACGTTTTATGTTTTTAACATTTTGCATAAATAATGACTGTATTTCTCACCACTTTAGGCCTTTACTCAAATCATATATGTGAGTGCCACCTGTGTTGACACTTTTCGCCCTAGCTCCTTCCTTATCACTGTTGCTAAATTCTCCGGGACCTTGTTCTGATGGACTGTAGTTAATTAAGTCCTTCCTGATTTAATTGGGAATGGTGAAATAGGGTGGAGCTTGTAGGATCAGGCGCTTGTGATGATAACTAACAGACTGTGGTTAATTAAAGCATTATCTATTGACTTGATTTTACACTGGGTTGATTCCATTCGTTTCCTCTTAAATTGGGGTTGCAATAGGCACCTTTGTCTCAGTTTTCATGTGCACCTGTGTGAGAGCTTCTCTAGGGTAGGCCAGAAAGGAAATTGCAGACATATGAGAGAGTCTCTTTTCAGCTTTGTTAGGGACTGCTGTGCTGATGATTTCCTTTTCTTTTTCCTTTTTCGAGACGAGGGGGTGGGGGGTCTCACTATGTTGCTTAGGCTGGTCTTGAACTCCTGGGCTCAAGTGATCCTCTCACCTCCGCCTCCCAAAGTGCTAGGATTACAGGCGTGAGCCACCGGGTGCGGCCTGATTTCTTTCACCATATAGATTTTTCTTAAAAATTGAAGACAGTTTAATGTATCAATGTTTTGTTTAGGGTATGTGCCTTTGTATTTTTCATTTTAACAATCCTTTCCTATGCTCTTCTATGTTCTCTTTCGCCATGTTCTTTCTTTTACTTTTCACACTTAGGTGTGCGATCCAACCAGAGGCTGAGTGTGTGTGGTGTGAGGTCAGAATCCCAGGGTCGATCCTCTCCCCCACCGCCTGTGTGCACAGCTAGCTTTTCCAGCATTGACGATGGAGCAGCTCATTCTCCACCCTCTGATTCCAACAACATTTCTGTTGTAGTCCCCTTCCCCCAAAAGGCTGGCTGCCTTTGAGTGTCTTTTCTATTGGACTGGCTATATGAAGGAGGCACAGGCCTGAGCTAAGAAGGTCATTGTTTGATCTTGGCCAGGAAAGGAAGAAAAATTCTTGGGCACATCCCAGGCCTAGGCACACTTCCTGGGCCCTGCCTGCTAGAATAGATGGGTCTGTTCCCTGGTTCTAGCCCCAGACTCCCTGCCACAGCCTCCCATCCTCGGGCTGCTGCTCTCTGCTAAGA